ACAAAAGGACAATCGGATTACATTGATAGGATTTACGGGGCTTCCGTCAACCAGTGAAAGGATGTATTGGTGTTAATAACGAAGCTTCATGGGCACACACGTGAAAACATTGAATCTGATTAGACTAAACACGTAAGCCCCTGACATACAAGAATGTTACATGTTGTTTACTAGAGATTGGAAAACGATCAAAGGACAGTAATATAAGTCTCATCAACAGCTAGCCTCGTCGACCAATTACAACGCAGGTCAAAAAAGGTTAAAATCTTCCCGCGGTTTTATAGGGCACCGAGGTGATCTGACACCCGGAAGTGAAATGACGTGTGCTATGAAGGAAATCTGAACCGGACAGTTGCATTGTTGCCTACTCTTATTTCTGTTTCCAACTACCAGTACATCTTTGACGTACTGCCAATGATATATACGCGACTTCGGTTTTTTTTTCATCCATCTGAACCACCAGGCGCTTGTCCTTGCCAGGTTCCCCGCCCGGCTGCACCACTGACAAAGACAAACAATGGCTGGAATATCCCGATGAACCTTCTGGACCTACACCGAGGTGTGTGTGTGTGTGTGTGTGTGTGGGGCGGGGGGGGGGGGGGTGAATAGTTAGCACGTGCGCGTTTTATCATAAGGTCTGTCATTGATTCAACTGGCGTGGTTGTACGTGGCAAGGAGTAGGGCTGCCCGTCCAACCTCGTGGGTTTTCTCCGGGTCCTCTCATTCCTCCCTCTGCCAAAGACCCCTACGCGCAACCGAATTATTGGTCCCGAAATGACCCAGTTTGTGTCAAGTGGACGTTAAACCCCGTTTCTCTCTCAACACCAACGTGGGCCCCGGGACCTACTGGTTAGTGAGTCAGCGCTTTATCCCCGGAATCACCAAGCTGCCTAAGCCAAGTATCATTTGTCTCTGCTCTTAACTTGATGACATCAGAAAATAGGTTGTATCTAAGGATCGTTAGTAGACGTTCCATCCAAAATACTTAATTTGAGTACTGAGTGGAGCCATGTAAATTTATGTTTGGGCTATACACACTCTTTCCCAGAACAGTAAACACTTTTAAAATTCGGAAAACGTCGGAACGATCTGCGTGATAAAGCTATTATTTAGTGGTTCGTTTTCTTAAGCCAATTTTGAGAACTGCCAGATCCACCGTGGCTCCCAATACCAAGTAGTTTTTTTCTTTGCCGTTGGCTTGATGGCATCAGATAAAGGAAAGCTAATTGAGAAAGGTTGGATCTAATTAAGAACTATACCCACTTTTTTCCAGATAGAACAGTAAACAAAGAAAAGGTCTGCATGATTCTTTTTTTTTCATATATTTATTTTGAGAACGTGTGCATTTGAAATATCGGCCGACCACTTGGAATGCAATTTCTGAGCTTGTGACGGAATCCGACTCCCTAGTGTCTCTCCTAGCATGATATGCCTTAGAAGATATTGATCCGAGGTCAATGTTTTATATGGTATTTCAGTAACTATTCCTGGAACGATGCAAGCATTAATCAATTGTTTAACTCGACTTGACAACAATAACCACACAAGGCAAGTATAGATAAATAAAAACCAAGACAAAACGACCAGTTATTGTTTTAAACGGTAATCGTTACGTATACGCCTTGCCAACATTTGATCTCTACAAATAAAACTCAAACACAACACAGACAGTCGAATTTCATCAACAATTCTCAACTCTGTTTTCTGGGGTCATTAAAGAATAGTTTGAAAAGCAGTGACCGTGCAATAAGCTCGGTTTCGCTGTTTGACTGGGAATCTAACAGTCAGGGGTCTACCAATGTCTAGGTTGGTTTTTTTTTTTTTTTTTATCTAACCCTGACTTTGGTTAAGCTTTTAACACGTAACCTGGATATGTGCGTTTCAGATAACTGACAAAAAGGAGGAACTGTGCAACAAAAGATAGATAAAGCAAAAATTAACGGAATACAATATTGTCAGTACAGTTAGGTGCTTTTACATAGAGGATGCATGGAAAACATGGAAATAATTTAAGGAAACATCAAAAACAACAGAAATCCTAAAGGAAATTTTAAGGTTGATGTATATGTGTCTATTTTAATACCCCCCCCCCCCCCAAACAAAAAAAAACGATAAAAAATCTTCATGAAGTTTTTCTTTTAACACAAGATTTGTGGTGTACTCGTGTAAGGTTGATTTACTGAAAGTTTATTTGAACAGATATGGAAGGTCAGTTTTAGACCAAACCGGCATCAAATCTATCAATGGCTACTTATAGTAGGACATGTCTGTTTGTGTATATATCTCGACTGTACTGTGATTTATCTACTAGATAGTCTTCAAGACGTCACTTAATTACAACTTCTCTAAAATTACCACTATGTAAATGGTAACAGTCGAGTTTATGTGACAGTAACACGAACGTTGCAATTAATAAGCAAAAGTGACAGACAAGCCCGTCCTGGCTTCGGGGTATTATCACCTTCTTTCAGTCGGCTGATTGTATATACCGAGTCGTCGATTCAATCTCAGATACAGTAATTGTCTTCTAATCAATGCGTGGATAGTCTTCAGATCTAAGGCTATCTGAACTAGACAGCGCGTTTAAAACCACTAAGTGCACGAAGACCAACGTCTATATATATACATGTATATATAGAAAACAAATCCCCATTTCCCGCTTACATTTCTCATAAACAAACGGTAATCGTTTATAAATTTAATTAACAGCACTGTTTTAGTTGTTTTTTGGAATAGAATTATCAAAGCATTTGTCCTGAAGGCAATCATGCAAAATTCTTTTTAATTTAAGATGGCATTGAATTTAGACTGTAAAAGTAGAAACGAGATCAATCTGTTTTACAGAGCAAGCGGTGTGGAACGAAAGCTGCACTGTTCGGTAAATTCAGGATTTGTGTAGGCTTAGAGCATAGAAATGTTTTTCATGGAGATAGATTAAATTAACACAGATGCATTCTGGTTTAATATTAAATGTGTGTATAAAATCTTAAATGTCATAAAGATTTTCCATTAAATGGCCACTTATGAAATGACTAACTTTTAACAATATAAAATTTCACAAAAATATAGGAAGAATTAGCAATTCTGATTTCTTGAACGGAATAAATGGAAATTAGCTTCCACAAAATACATATGATGGGAAGGAGTGCATATAAAATTAGAGGTTAAGTCGATGTATGATTATGGAAAAAAATAGATGGTTTATTATGCTTAAGATCTGTGAATGACGTAAATACTGACGTAAGAAATTATGAGGCGATACACGCCTAAGAATAGCACACTGTCATAAACATAGTTTTCGTTTTGAACGATTTCACCCCCGTTAGAACAGTCCAGACATGATGGGGTTTCCAAAGCATTCAAAACATTTAGGCTTAACGTATTTCATTGTTTTCGAAGATGGTGGAAATCGCGTTTGCTCGAGTATAATGTTGTATACGCCTTTCATTTTAAGTAGTGCGTGTAATGAGAAATTCATTCTGGTAAAACATATGGTAAGAATATTACAACTCTTCTGATATCGACAAACAAGAAAACCGTGTATTTGTTAATATAGATTCAGTGGCGAACTCTTGGGTGATGCCCTGGGCCAACTAATCCCCATGCTTCAAATGCATAGAACAACCAGATGAAATTACCCTTTTAATTCAAATTCAGTAGGGCAGCTTGTGCACCAAAGTAAATGGATGCCGGGAGACCCAAAGAATGTGATATTTTAAACTTCTGTAAATGGTACATGTAGAGTTACACTTTGGTTATGACCATTTCTTAACTTAATATTCAGAACGAAATAGAATAAATCGTATTACTTAGATATGTCAGTTGCATCCGTATCAATTTCTCCTTCCATGTATCCCTCCTATTCACATACCAAATCTCGTTATTATTTCCAAGCCCCACCTTCTCATACTGCACTGCCATCCACTATTGCCCGCTTTATCTCCGATGCTCCATCATCTTATGTACCGCCCAACCCATCTCCGCTGCACCGCTGTCCTCTTCTGTCATCCTGTAATATCTTCTATCTGCACCCATCTCTATTTCCCCACCTGTCTCTACTGTTCCAGCCTCACTGAACAATCGAGCTTTGCTGTGTCACATGATTATCTGCTACTGTACCACCCATCTCTTCTGGTACACAAACCTCTTCTGCTGCCCGTCCACTTCTACTAATTCATCATAGTCCTCTACTGTACCACTCACCCTTACTGGTTCACCATCATATTCTACTGCACCACCCACCTGTGCTGTTTCATCATCATATTCTACTGCACCGCCACCACCTCTACTGGTTCATCATCATCCTCTACTGCACTACCACCACCTCTACTGGTTCATCATCATCCTCTACTGCACTACCCACTTCTACTATTTCATCATCATCATCATCATCATCATCATCACTCTCAACTGTACCACCCATTTTCGCTGTGTTCGCCTACTGCACCAACGTTCTCCGCTATTCCACCTATCCCTACTGTTATACGTTACCTAAACTACTCAACCTTTCTCTACTTCGCACTGCTACAGTCATCTCTCTCTCTCTCTCTCTCTCTCTCTCTCTCTGAGCACAGGTTTTTGAACTGCCATCTACGATTAACGATTAACCAGAACTATTAGTGCCACACTAACTTGACATATCGACATCTGAAGAGATTATAGTAGTCTGTCGCATCACGCGATTGTATCGTCACCATTTATCAAAAATAAAAACAATAAATACAAGACACTAGAGTGAGCAGACATATTTATATATAGTATATTTCCTTTATGGACATACAAAACGACCCAAGTTCTCAATTTGGGTAGGCCGAGTAACTAGCCACTAACTACATCTTGATTTAAATGTTGTTTTTTATGACATAATTCTTGCCAACAGAAATGTGTTTTTGAGACACAGTGATATATAGAACCTATTTCATACGTTTCCGACTTTCGAGTGGCATCTGAGTTAGTGGCATCTAAGTAAAATAACTGTTGGTCTGACCATAGAACTAGAACACTAACGGGAACGCCCACTCGGTGACGTATAACGGTGATGACATAATTATGTTGTACATCGCATGCGCGAAGTCAATAAGGCACAAGTAACTTCCGGCCGTATGTCAACATGGCAGAAGCGTACGACGTCCTGGAATTTCAAGAACTTGACGGTGTAATAGATGTAAGTTATTCATAATTTTAATGAGTTTTTTTTAAATTAGTTATATAACATACCATCGGGAGTATAAACCATTTATTTTCGGACATTAAATTATCCGAACACACGTTTGTGTATCATTTTCTACTACATATTATAAAATTATTATTAATAAATTATGATGACATTCACATTTTATTTTTTTTATTTATTGTTTTGTGTATATTGTTGTTAGCCTTTGGCATGTCCGTGCCAGTTTTGGCTGGTTTCCCAGTGCCCTTTTCTTGTTTATAACAAGGGGTTTTACATAGGCTAAGCCTGTTCCCCAATCCCATTCAGACATCTTGAATAAAAATATTGTTTATAAAAAAAAAAATGTGTATTCTTTACTACAGCTTTTCTTTGCTAAAGATTTGTTTGAGACATCTCAACCTGTCGTTCCAGTAGCATCCGTAAGTTTTCTACATATACAACATACATGCATATAGTCACATAGTGTTCGTAGCAAATGGGCAAGTTATGAAACTCATTATAGTCTCGACCATGTCTATATATTTTTTTTCTTCTCAAACGATCAAATTGCTTTGGAAATGAAATGAAATGGGGTTTAACGTCCTACTGTTCTGCTCCTATGCTGGGCTAATGAAGACGGGCATACGCCATAAGGTGTGATTTAAGGGAAATTTTGCCCGGGCAGCGGCTCTATCACCTATTCTTATATCGAATTCCAACTGCCACGGGATCTTTTACGTGCATTCCAATGTATACAGGTGACCTCGGGTTTTCGTATCATCCGAAGGATTAGACAGCTGTCCTTGTCAGGCCCTCCGTACTGCATCACTGAAAAGGGGGAACCACGCCGGAAAATCTCGGCCAATGCAGGGATCGAACACCCGACCTCCAGGCTAGCGAGCCAGCGTCTTACCCACTTAGCCACGTGATCCCAAATTGCTTTGGAACAGTTTCTTTTATTTTGTATAATATTTACTTTAAAGGGACAATAACACTCTTGCTGGCTTGAAAGCTCCAGAAAATAAATAATATCTCTATCTAAGTACTAGATGTTTAAGTGTCCCACCTGTTGTGTAAATTATCCATTACATCCTATTTTACTTGTCCAGAGGGTTCGAAAATATTTTTAAATCGAAGTTTCATTTGAAAAGGTTTACGTTAGACGTTTCAAAGCATTATGTTGAATTGTTTATATAAGGTGTGTTAAGATGAAATTTGTATCATCAATTAATTGAAATATTCTAAAATAGCCTTCAAAGGCTAATATCTTCGCTCGCAATAGAGTAATTTGAATGAAATTTTCAAATTAGTCATTTTACATTTTTTATCTTCGAACTATTATAGCAAGAATGGCTAGCTCTTTATCAAAATCTTACATAATGTATATTTAAGAATAATTTAATACATTTATAAAGCTCACACATTACAAGTTGTGCACCTGTATAAAATTTATATAAATTTTGTTATCATTGTTAATATTTTATACTGAGATGCAATAAAAATAATACATCACTTTTATAAATGGATGAATGTAAATCTTGTTTGAAATGAATCCAGGTTTAACGCCCTACTTAGTACTTTTCAGCTCAATTTTGTTTTAAAGATTTGCTTTAATCTTGCAATTAAGGATGTAACAACATCATATTACGATGATAACATGTGAGAATGTTTTGAAGATTGCGTAAACGCACCCCGAACAATTCTCAATCAAAAAAATTAAACCCAACAGAATCAGTATGTTGATTTTTCTGGTACACACGTGGGGTATATAATGCAGCTTTTAAAAAGCTAGGTTTTGTGGAAGGTGCAAAGTTATGCCACGTCATCTCAGAGGTGCTATTTCATTGCGTCTCGATATATTTTGTTTACTATTATCAACCTGGCCCCAAGTTCACAAAGCATTCCCAGACTTAAGAATTTGCTCAACCTTCAATCACTGTTTTTGAGAAATATCTTTGATCCAGAAACACAAAACTTTGCACAGTTTCTTATTGATATATTTACATTAAAACAACAATAGTTAGTAAAGTGCTATATTTGAGTTAAAATAAGACAAACAATTTTGAGTAAAACCTTAACTTAAGACTGAGAATGCTTTGTGAACTTGGGGCCTTGTTTTCTTTTCATTACTTATTAACTACAATACAGTAATAACAAGAAATAAAAAATCTGTAGAACACTGCTGATTAAGTTCTAGATTTAATCCTAGATTCAATCACATTTATATTTTTATACTTCCAATATTGATATTAATTCCAATAGAGCCAGGAAATGTTTAGTTTAATTATACACTTTCTATTTTGTTGTATGAAATTATCTGTATAATCTGTGTTTTTGTTACTTTCATTGTGTGAAATGCTTGCAGCAAAGTGCTGTAAATAAAATACCTGACATCACTGATCACAGTTTAACTCTATAACTTCTCATTTGACCTCAAATCTATGTGGAGTCGAGTCAGTTGGAAGAAATAAATCAAAATGGAGTGAAATCTACATTTTAATCAAATTCATACCACATGATTATATTCTATCACTGTTTGCTCGTTTATATGGCAACTATATATTATTGCTAAGCTATTTTTGAATTGTAAATTACATTTACAAGTATGTAAATATTGATTCTTTGAATTATATATTGTCAATCAAAATCTGAATATGCAATGTGCTATGTAGCCATATATGTGAAATAAACTATTATTATTACTATTTACTTTCTCTGTAAATCTCTGTTAATCTGTCGACAACTTAAACAAATTTCTTTTTGAGTGTCCTCAACAAAACTATTACATACAGAAGCAAGTACACAGCTTTCGTAATTTCTATGTTGACTTATTTGTGTTCATGAAAATATCAACCTGTCTGATATATCTTACAGTTGTAGGCTGACATTGAGAATAAGACTGTAAATGTTTTGATGTTATGCCCCCACATATCTTCATATTCTCAACAGTTCTTATAAGTAAATCTATAGATGTAACTTTAATTTGAACAGGAAACAAAAATTATTATATTGTACTTCACAATTCAAGTCCTTGTCAATGGTTAAATGGTATGTTACACTTTTATCTTCAGTTTTAAACAGATAGATATAATCACTTGAAGACTGACATAGCCACAAAGCAGACATTTGACATAAAAATGATTTCTGCAACATCTGAAAGGTTACTTCGTTCATATGTAAACATTGAGTTTCCTCGGTTTTCCTTGGACTCTGAATAAAATAGACAAATTCATAAAATTCAATTAAAACAAGAAGAATTGGATTCTGATACATGTATTCATAATTTTCTCGGTTTCTGAATAAAATCGAAAAAATTACAAAAGTAAATATAAAGAAGAATCGGATATTCATACAAGAATTTATAAATAAAATTATGGGAGATTACAGAAAGAGCTAGCAGTTCTCATTATAATAGTTAAAAAATAGATAATGTAAAGGGAATTTGCTGAAAATTTCAGTCAAATTCATCCACCCTGAACCAAGTATTTAATGATTAAATTTTGGGCCTAGCCTCGATCAGCATTACTATAGTCGGTACGATAAAAAAAAACCATGGTCTCGATTATCGATTTTTTGATTTAATCAGAAGTAGCAGACTGGGCTCTAATTCAGTATATATCACAGGCTAGCGATGCCATCGAGCGTTGATTATGGTCTGGATAAGTTAATTAATGTCTAATTAATAATTTAGATAACATTCCAGGCCTAAAGAAAGACCTGCAATTGACAGATTTAGCTCTTGCATAATGTCTGTTTAATATTGATGAATTAAATGTTCATATACTGATCTTTTATAAGGAAACATCGAATGTTCATATTCATAATTAAGTTAACAGAAATTTAAGTTACCGGTGACTTCCTTGGATTCAATTTCTTTGTTGTTACGCTTTTCTGTAGAAGAATTAAGGTTGATAGTCTCCCTAACCCTTCTTTTAATCTTCGATATGTGGACCCAGAATTTTTGTAAACATCTGAAATATTCATAAAATCAAAATAAAAAGGTTCCTACATACAAAACAAAAGGTTCAGATATAATTAATTTTTTTTCCATGCTTGTTGATTATTCATACCGGGAACAAGATTATTTCGGAATTTAAAAGTAAAAGGATTTGACAGGTCAAGGTCAGTCATAAATAAATATACAATTTTAATTTTTATGGAGCTGCTCAGTTAAAACTTTGACCTTTAAAAAAAAATAATAATTAGTAATTCATAAAATTAAAGTAAAAGAAGATTGTTGAGAGAGAATCGTCATGCTGTCACACACTCATCGGGTGTAGTATTCGTCAATTTCATAACAAATTGCAAGTAGACTAGGCCTAGCTACGGCACTAATGTAAACAAACCTATATGCATACAACTTTGATGAGAGAAAGGGTAAAATCTAACGGGCAAACATGAAAATACAGACATTCAGCTAGTATGGGTTTAACTTAACTTCATTGTAGGTTGTCAGGGTGGACTGCCAACTAGAATCTACATAATTAATTTCTTTTGATTTGAGTTTTCACTTACTTTTTCAACGAAATAATCCGGCTCAACGTGTCTTGAACATATTGTCAAGGTCTTGTCATTTATCGGGTCTGATCTGGTAGACTGTATGATACGTAATGATTCTCTCTCCACTCTATGTTGTTTTTGGGTAAGCGATAGAATGATCAACCCCGATTTCTTTTATTGCAGGCGGAACATCCGAACAAAACCAAATTCGCGCCAGGCATTTTGTTAGTGCGAGCAGAAACCGGAAGTAAGCTGTGCCCGATATCAGCGTCAGAGGCCCGCCGTCACATAAGGTAGTGACGTCACACGGTGGGCGTTCCCGTTAGTATTCTAGTTCTATGGTCTGACTTTGGTTATTATTGCACTTGAGGTGAAGGACTCAATATTTAGGCGCACACCCTATAGGCTTTTGGTTTAAAGATGACGAAGAACTGTTAGGGCTATAATTTGATTAGCAAGGAACCCTTCGTATTCTGTGGACTACACAAACATTGTCCGATTGGTACGAAGCAGTAAAAGTATCAATAAATCATGTAATCACGCCGTAACCGTATAGATGATTTGCGTGTAATTCTTGTCATTCCATAGCAACATAACTCGGTTCTACATTACCAAGGGGCGTCTATTGCTGTCTTGGCTGTCTACTGATATATTAAAGTATATGGTATAGAAACAGTATGGAATTGAATGTCGTCTCGTTAACACGATACTTTGACAAAAGTATATCACATTTCCATGGTAACGTGTGTCATGCCAGCCAGGTAGGAGAAATTTGCCTGGACAGTGGCATTTCCGCCTAATCCCCTTCGATTTTCAACAATCCATGCTCTTTGTATGTGTATGTAAATGTGTACTTGGCCAAACCTTCGTTTTTCTTCCCATTCGAACGGAATGCCCCCCCCCCCCCCACCCCCGCCCTTGTCATCCCTATCCCTGCAGGCGCCACCCCTGGAAAGGTCGGGCTGATTAGATCCGTGAGATTCTTCTCGAGAGTTCAGTGACTTGACTACCACGGCCACCGTTTATAAACAGACCGGAAATATCTATAACTGATAGATAATTATTGAACATCAATTACTTCTAAAATATTATTAAAATTGTGAAATTCAACATCTAAAGTGCAAATGAAACAACGTCGTATATGGTCCATTGCCATTCATTTAATAGTCATTCAAATGTTTGTTGTTTGACAGGAGATAGAAATCTACATGTTCAACAAATTAATCGACAAATCAAAGGGAATAATTATGAATGGTACATGAATAGCGACAGACGTCAATCTATGTCGCCTTGGAAACACCACGAATAAAGCCACCATCGCCTCATATTTTGGTTTGGTTACTATAATCCGAAATCATTTTTTATCTGAACAGATTTGTAGTTGCAAGTTTGAAATTAAATGAAATAATGGATTAAATCTGACTTTCCACACCAATTGAGTTCCTGTTCTATGACGGAAATTTTGTCCTGACGGTGGTTCTATATACGGCCTACTCTTAGTTTGAGTTTCAACTGTCTATGGATCTTTAACGTGCTGCCCATGGTATACACGGGACCCACGACTACATGCTTTTCATTGCACGACCTTTTATTCTCTAGCTCTATTTAAAAGATCTAAAACCTATATTAATGCCCGGCTTTCACATGGCCTATACGAATACTACGAACCGTCCCGAATAGTAGTGGCGAATCGTAATTCGTAGCGATTTGGCAAAAAACCCAAAAAGATCCTAAAGAATCTGGAGACGCTACGAAGCAAGTACGAATAGTTTACCAAAGAGTTACGACAATTCGTAGGTATTCGGATGAAAAATATGCCTGATGTATCAAGGAAGGGTTACGAAATCATCTATACGAGTTGAAAATATTCAGTTACAAATGAGTTACGGACATGCCGAATTGCTTACGAATATGCCGAATTCAGTTACGAATACACTATGCTCTCCGCGAATGATGCCGATAAAGTTACGAAAAGTTTACGATATTTGGTATTATTCGTACAAGAATCACATAGGGAGCGGAAAAAAGTTTGGATTCGGGACGATTCGTGGCATTTGTGGCTCATATGAAAATGGACCAGAAAGGGTTTTGTTTCAATTATCTACGAATCGGAAAAAGTTCTTGGCATTCGTAGCCCACGTGAAAGCCGTGCATAAGAGTTGGACTTTTTGTTTAATGTCTTAAATCAAGATTCGTCGATGTAAGAGGTTTCACGCTCTTTGACTTTGTAAAAAAGGGATTCACATCCAACGTCTTGTCTGCAAGGGTTTTAAGCTATAAATTTGTATTATAGCGTATTATATCGCGTCACATCTTGTCATAATAAAAGTAATAATATCAGTAGTATTAAGAAAGTAGATTTATTCGTGTAAACACCATCAATCATTTTAAATTAGCTCACAAGAGAATAGAGATCATATCTATAACGACCATTTAATGTCAAGTACATCATTATTAAACATATATTATGCAAGAGCTAAATCTGCCTATTGCAGGTCTTTCTTTAGGCCTGAAATGTTATATAAACTATTAATTAGACATTAATTAACTTGTCAAAACCATAATCAACGCTCGATACCATCTTATGTGTCGGATTTTCACTTTATTTTAATCCGATCTGCTGCCCAAGGCTCATTGATGATTAAATCCAAAAATGGATAATCGGGACTATTGTTTTTAGTAATGATTATCGAGGCTAGGCTTAAAATTCAAAAGCAAATATCTCGGTTCAGAGTGGAGCAATTTGACTGAAATTTTCAAAATATTCTATTTACGTTTTCTATTTTATTTTAACTATTATAGCGAGAACAGTCAACTCTTTATCTAATCTCCCATAATGTCTCTTTAAGTGTTGAGTACAATGGACCTAAAGAAGTTTCTTGACCTTTTTCTCGGTTCAGTCATGAGCATCCATTGAGGTGGGTAAGCGATCCTGGTACTGCTCACAGAGAGGAAGCTTCTTAGTCATATAGCCACACCTGGCATTCAGTGAGTACGAATGTTCCTGAAACACGTTTATAAATTCTTGTCGTATGGATCATGCTTTTTTATTTCGACAAAATATCCCACAATCTTTAATTCGTCATTTTTATGAATAACGATTGTATTTGTCTTTCTTGTGACGTATTTTATACGGGTATTTGTCTTTCTTGGGGCGTATTTTGTATAGAGATTTGTCTTTCTGGAGGCGTATTTTATGTGTGTATTTATATACTATTCAAAAAAAGTAGGGGATATTTGATTTTGGGGGCATAATACTAAAATATGCAAATGACTACGAAAAAAGTCACTATAGAACCTATAGAAGAAACATTTCCAGTTACATGTGACGCCCAAACGCACCAATAGCTACCGCATGGAATGCAGGTGATGCTTGGGATCATCATGGGGGTCCAACCCAAGATTTGCACGACTCTGACTTTGAATGTTACAGTCATTGTGGCATTGAATTCCAGGGTGGAAACATCAGTTTAATTGTTTTAGTGACCAGAAAACAAATTTTGATATGCGTCGGCTTACCCAAAATGAAAGGTTACGTGCCCTTGGCATGCTACAGATCGGCACAACACAGGCGGTTGTGGCGCGGACGATGAATGTTTCTCAGTCTGTCATAAGCAGGCTATGGTCCAGATACCGTGATACACATTCTGTACAGGACAGACCACGCTCAGGTCGACCAAGGGCGATAACTCAAGCCCAGGATCGATTTATCCGTACCTTGGCCTTGAGAAATCGTGTCATCACAGCAAATGAGATCAGCGCTCGTCTTCAAACAGACACTGGTGTGAGAGTGAGTGGCCAGACGATTCGGAATCGACTGCATAGGGGACACCTTCGCGCCCGACGTCCTCGCGTGATCCCTTGTTTGAGAGATCATCACATTCAGGCAAGACGTCGTTGGTGTAGCGATCGTCAACACTGGGATAATCGACGCTGGAGCAATGTGATGTTTTCAGATGAGTCAAGGTTCACTGTTGATTTTTTGGACAGACGTAGGAGTGTGTGGCGTCGTCGAAACGAGCGCTTCCAAGACGTTAACGTCATCAGACATGATCGATTTGGGGGTGGTTCTGTTATGGTGTGGGGAGGCATCACTGTTGCTGGAAGAACGGCTTTACATGTTGTTGCAGGGCGTGTTACAGGCCAGTACTACCGGGACAACATCTTGGCAGTCCATGTTGTGCCGTTCGCACGACGTCATGGCCGCCGTTTCATCTTCCAGGATGACAACGCAAGATGTCACAGGGCCAGGATCGTTACAGGTTACCTCCAACAACAGAACATCACCACATTACCTTGGCCAGCACTGAGTTCCGACCTCTCCCCCATCGAGCATGTCTGGGACATGCTTGGACAGAGGTTACGTCAACGTCAACAACGTCCTGCCAATGTCCAAGAACTTGCTGCTGCGTTGCAACAGGAATGGGACAATCTGGACCAAAATGACCTTAGACGTCTCATTAGGAGTATGCCACGTCGGATCAATGCTTGTTTGGCAAACAGAGGAGGATTTACCCGTTACTGACTTGGTTGTGATGCTGTGGTAACTTTGCTGTTTGACCCCGGGTATCATTTTACCCTTATAATGGTCAGTCTGTGCCTTACTTAGTCTAACGATCATTTGGAATAAATCGATGAATGTGAACTTCATTTCATTTTGTCATTTGTTTCTTCGTCAGTTTCATTAGGTGACTTTAATAACACTTAAAAATCAAATATCCCCTACTTTTTTTGAATAGTATATTTCTTGTGGCGTATTTCATACGGGGATTCGTCTTTCTTAGGGCATGTTTTATACGGGGCTTTGTCTTTCTTGTTGCGCATTTTATACGGGTTTTTGCCTTTCTTGGGGTTAATGCTTTCTTGGGGTGTAAAAATGCAATCTGATCAAAATACAGATCTATATTTTGTTTCGTTTTTTTAATACTTTCAATGGCCTACACTAGTGTAATAAACACAAGTAAAACGAAATTTTGAACTATAAAAAACGAAACTAAATAGGATCTGTGTTTTAATCAGATTGGTAAAAATGGAGATATGTCTTTCTTAGGGCGTATACGGGTTTATACGGGTTTTTGTTGCTCCAGGGACGTATTTTTAGCCATTCAACCAAAGTAAAGCATTCTTTGCATTTGAGCGATGGTATTAAAAGTCACATCACAAACAAGCATGTTTATACAGAAAGTGGCTTTTGTACAGTAAATTACGGGAAT